CATGGACAAGTTAGCATGATGGTGGGCAGTCCATTTAAGTAATTTTCAACTTATGACAACACTAAGGTAACCCTATCATGGGGTTTTCTTGGCACATTTCTTCAGTGGAGGTTTGCCATTGCCATCCTCTGAGGCTGAGAGATTGTGACTTGCCCAGGAACATCTGGTGTGTTTCATAGCCAAGCAAGGAATCAAACCCTGGTCTCCAGAGTCATAGTCCAACACTCAAACCACTATGTCATGCTGGGTCTCTGGTTAGCATATAAGGCCCCAGATTTCTGTGGACATTTTTATGAGCCTGGCAACATATGCACAGATATGACAGTAACTTGTGGCACATTGACTGCTGGAAAAAAGAGGGGTGGTGAGAGTGAACCAGCTCTTGCTACCTTTTTTGTAAAATAGGGAGGAAAAGAAGCTTCCAACATCTGATTGCCTAGAGGTCATTTTCACTCACCACAGGTGAGCCATGAAGTGGTGGCTTACAAAGGAGTCTAATTAGGACCCTCAGCAGTATTATAATGTCTGTGCCACTAAGGTCACTTTAGCTGGCATTTAGACTTCCCTGAAAGCCATTAACATCTCACTAGCACTTGCTTTCTCTCCTCAACCTTAAAGAGAAGGGCTGAAATATAAAAGCTTCACACACGCACCCTGTGGTTCCCATAAAAGTGCTATTTGGTGTGCTTCCTTCCTTGAAAATTCAGGGCAGCTGTTAATGACTAATAGTGCAAACCTAACCACTAGATCAGTTGGCTGGAAGGGGCTGGGATGCTGCAGAGCAAGCTGCTCTCCATTGCTGGAGAGGAGGTTGGGTCCATCCATCCCAAGTCCCCAGTTATGTACATAGAGAGTTCTGGGAGCCTAAGATGGAAACAAGGTGCAGCTTGGGATCTGCTGGACTGAACCCCACTCTGTTCCTCATTGGGATGCCAGCAAATTGTACCCTTCCCACTTCCACACTAAAAGTATCAGAAATCTTTCATCTTTTTTATGTTTTATATTTTTGACAAATATAATTGATGAATCATTGGGGGGGGGAAGAGTATGGAATTTTTTTTCATTTTACATGCTGTCGGTGGCAAGAATGATAATACCCTCAATAGTATATTGACTAGTAAAATTACTAGATGTGATCAAAATGGATAATTGATGAGAGTTTTATAAAATCAACACATTAATAAATTTGCAGAGGACTGGGACAAGGTATTGAAACATTTGAAACAGGAGTGGGGCAAAATAATAGTAACAGAGTTTTTTGTGGGTTTTTCAGGCGGTGTGGCCATGTTCTAGAAGAGTTTCTTTCTGACGTTTCGCCAGCATCTGTGGCTGGCATCTTTTTCTCTGAAGATGCCAGCCACAGATGCTGGCAAAACGTCAGAAAGAAACTCTTCTAGAACATGGCCACACCGCCCGAAAAACCCACAAAAAACTATGGATGCCAGCCATGAAAGCCTACGACTTCATAATAGTAACAGACTTAAATATTTAACTAAAATTGATTATCTGCTTACCAGTTAACTCAAAGACTAGAAGGTATAAAGTATTTCACAATATAGTATATTAATAGAAAAAACATAGAAGAATAGTGTATGGTTTCAAAAGAGATAGCATGAAAAAGCAAAAAATTGAGATAACATCCAAAAGACTGCAGATGAGGAGGCAACAAATGATGCTTTAGAATTAGATGTAAGGATAAACTTATTTAAGTTTGATGGGTTTTTGTGGGTTTAATGTATATCTAGGATTCTGAATGTAAGGCCAGGCTAATGTAAATATCGTGTATGACGTGAATGTTCATTATGATGATGTGGCATACATGTATCTTTTTTATATGACTTTAGAAAATTCCTAATAAAAATATTTTAATAATAATAATAATAAATTTTATTTTTAACCCGCCCCTCTGCTCGGCAACCAGGGCGGTGTACACAAGATTAAAACAGATAACAGTTAAAACAACTCTTTCCCTAACCCTCCCCCCCTTAAGACTAAATTAAACTAATGCAAGATTAAAATAACAAATAGACAACATGTTCCCTTTTCATTGACACAACCTGGATCTTCCCCATAACCACTGCTGCATCCTCAGCTCTGGCTGAAGACATGTGGCTGGTGGGTGCAGGGAAGCCATTTTTCCTGGCATGTGTCAGATTTCTCTCTCATAATAACAACAATAACAACAATAACAACAACAACATATTTATATCTCGCCTTTAGCCAAGGCTATCAAGGCAGCTTACAATTTAAAAATACAATCCCGTACAATACAAAGGAATATATCATACACACACACCCTTAAAAATATATTATATTATATTGTATCATACACACACACCAGGAAAATATAGTAACAAATTCCTTCCAATGCATAATCAAGCATCTTCCCCACATCTTCTCAGTGGGGGGATTGGACCCAAACCCCAGTTCAGGTATCCAGATGTCATAAGCCCATACATTGTCTTCCACATTGGCATTAAAAGTACAAGAGCCCTCTCCACTTTTCAGTCTGGCAACCCTAGTTGTCATCCACTAACAGTCTTGATCAGCTGTGCTGTTCTTTTTATGAATGTCCAGATATATGGAATAACAGAAGATGAACTGGATAAAACTTACAGTGGAAAGAAAAAAGACTAGCCCAAATAGACCAACCCTATAGATGCCATTCTTCAAACCAGGAATATATCTGTGAAATTGCTCTTTCACTTGACAATAGCATCAGTTCTCATGGCACGAAAACAAACTTATGATATACATTAGCAAATTAAGCACTGTTGCTCTAGCATTTAATGAAGAACGAGGTTGGTTTATTGCTCTGCATATACCTTGGCTACGGATATCATTTCTTAAATAAGAAACACTGGGGCAGGGAACATCATCCACATAGATTGAATTTAAACTTCATACAATAGGACTATAATATGATATTGATTTTTCTCCCCATAAAGGCCTCTTAGAGGGGAGCCAATGTACAAAGTCAGGCTAAGATCGCTTTGGTGAAAAGTGTATAGGATTTTATTCAAGCTGTGAAGAACTTATCCCCTTGAGGACGAATGAGAGAATGTAGAAAAAGA